GGGAAATAGTCGGTCCCTTTCCGCGTATGGTTTTCTATACCGGATTCCCGGGAAACGGGTTTTCGCTTGGGCTTTTTTTTAAAAAAAAGTAACTCTCCCCCCCCTTTTGAGGCGTCGCCACGCCATGCTATTTCAGGCTACGCGTTCTCCGTATCGTGCTCCCGATGCAGCGTTGGCCTCATTTCCGCGCTTCCGCTCGTTCCGAATTGTGCTCCCGCTGGAACGTTGGCGTCATTATTTCCAGCGCCATGCCACGGCATGGTTTTCGGTCCTTCCAAATGGGCCCCACAATGTAGAAAATGCCCCCCCCGAAACAACCATCATAAGTGATTACACATTCGGTGTCGATTTGTTGATTTTCCGGGGTGCAGAAAGCCCCCCCATTTTGGGGCGTCGCCATGCCATGCTATGTCAGGCTACGCGTTGATCTTCAACACCATGCTACGCCATGTAATGCTATGCCCTGCTGCGACATTCGACTCTACGAATAGAGAAGATCTCTACGCCATGGTTAAGGATCGGAGGGAGTGGCAGGACGTCAGATACGACGCGAGCGCACCTAGCTTGCCCTCCTCCCCCTCTCCCTCCCGCCCCTCTCCCCCCGTCTTCTCATTCGCCCCTCCCCTTCCTTCCCCTCCCCGCCCTCCGTCCCCCTCTGTGCGCCCCCCGCCCCATCACGCAGCAGGGCGCCCTTGCCCTGGCCGCGTGGCCCAGCCAGCGCGGGGCGCCATCGAAGCCTGGCTTCTGCACGATCGAGGTGGGGACGGAGAAGATGAGGACGAAGACCGACGGCAGTTCCTGCCCCTTTTGAAAAGGACTCGATGTCGGTGCCGCCGCGGACGTTGTGAGGCAGGAGGCTTCCTGCGCAACAGCGGCCGCTGGGTTTGGGACACCATTCGAACAACGCAGGAAGACGGGGTCGTCTTCACCGACGTCTAGGCGTCCCTCATAAGATCGCGCGTGAGCGCCCTCGTCTCCACTAAGGCGTGCCCCGCTGGTGGCCTGCGTAAGCCGCGACGTATGGTCGTTGTGACAACGGTACGTGAAACCCTTTTCTTTTCGTCGCTCGTTTGTTGCCTGGCATCGTGACCAGCCTTTCCGTACCCACTTCGAGCGTCCAAGTGCTTGCGCCCCGGGGCTGCCGGGGCCCAGGCGTGAGGCGAAGAATTTGGCATCGCTCGGACGTGTGGATGTTTCCTTCGGCGAGGACCATCGAGGAGCATCCTTGACCATTTGGCGAAAAACACACGCACGAAACCGAAACAAGCATGGCCAGAGAACACGTCAGCGAGATAGCGTGTTTGGACTAGCTGGCGCCGAGCTCCGGCACGGCCGCGTCACGCCCCCTGGGCTCCTGTAATTCGGGAGGGGGAAGAAAAACACAGACACAATTAATCGTCGATCCCCAAGAAAATATGGGAAAATATGGAAGTGGGCGGGAAGACAAAAAAACCGAAAATATTTGAAAATATGGGGAACCTTTTCATTTGTGTGTATTTATTTGTGTGTCCCAGGGCTCCTT